ATGATGATGATGATGATGATGATGATGATGATGATGATGATGATGATGATGATGATGATGATGATGATGATGATGATGCTGTATTTACTCACCGATTTATCAGCTCCCGCCTCCAATGAGTAGCTACCTACCGCACCTCCCCAAAAAACTGTGGCAGCTACAACCACTCCACGATAAGTACGCAGTTCTTGCAACTCACAACGATGATACAGCATTGGAGCATCAGTTTTGGATACTGATATGATCATGTCGATGAAGTTGTGCTTTGGACCATTACAGCTGTTGGAAGTTCTTCCACCCTCGGCTCCGAGTGTATTGGTTTACTCGCTGCTTTGTCCTTCACGTCGGTTGTGACTGAAATCAGGAGTTTGAATTTGTTTCGAGTAATGTTCATTCGTGCCTTCTACTTCTGAAAAGTTCTCGTTGTTTGACTATTCACCTCTGACGTTCTGCAACCCGCTCCTCCTGCTGATGCTGTCGCCGCTTGCGTTTTATTAATCCGAGGAGTTGCGGTTCCCCGATCCTTGGCTCCAGTTTCGGAACCTAACTTGAGTGATGTAGGAGAGAGACGTTTGGCTTTGGATTGACTTCTGTACATGTTTATTCGAAGTAAAATCATTAAAAAATGGACGCGGTTTTGTGATCAACTCCCAATCAGCTGAAAACTGATACAAGACATGCACCAATAAGATCACAACCAAAGGAGACAATTGGAGCGCCCGCTCGTATCCGCTTGATGGAGCTAGAGTGAAGGTGTGAGCAATGTTAACCATCACAATACTACAGAGGTCATTTTCCAACAAAAGCTACCTGAACTATCGTACCGATTTATTGTATTTTTGTAGATCTGAGTCACAACCATCCGGTATTCTTGATGCTTCCCACGGGTTACGGTGCAGCTACCCGTGATATCAGTATCTCTGCTGAATCATTCAATTATTTCGTCTTCAAATGGTGCGGTACTTTTTTACCTTATCTTGAATTTTCGTTCACATACTATCTTATAGGGTGTGCACGAAATTTTAGCAACCGTGACTTGCAATCGCATTTTTTTGAATCAAAGAGTTTGTTTGTTTAGTTTGTTTGTTTATGTTAGTTGTTTGTTAGGTTTGTTTGGGAGTCGAGTTCTTCGTTAATCTGACATCTTTCCATATATTTCAGGCTAGAGCTATTCTACATTCTCTCGCGGAAAAGAACGAAAAACAATCTGAGGATGAAATTGACGCATCAGACGACACGGACGAAGACGGAAGTGATTCAGAGATTAGTGCCCTTCGGGAAGAAGCAAATGAACCTCTGGAATCTGTGTTAGAACGTTATGGTGGTGAGGATGCTCTCCCAACGAACATCAAGGTAACGATTTTTCCTTGATCCCAAATAAACCACCTTTATATTTGGTTTATATGAAAGGGGTTTTGCAGTTGTTTTACTTCTGTGGTTTTCCATCTTTTCCCCCACTCTGGTCCTGGTAACTTCCCTTGTACCATCGTTTTATTTCACCACATTGCGACGAATAAACTGGTATCGAATATCAGGTACGGTTCGACCATCGTTGCGTGACCTTCATACATGATTCATATATGATCACCTGCACATTGTGTGCTCGAAAAGGGGTAAGGTTCACCAACTCACAAGTGAAAACAGGAGGTGTCTACGCAACTGGTCTGTCAAGTAAGAATGGGGAGTTGGCGGGGAAGAAGCTTTCCTATCGGACAGAGTGGGGTTCAAGAGCTGATTCACTTAATGAAACTGCCCAGTGTTGTGAAAATGTTCACCAGTACCTGCCATGCATGTACGCTCACGGGTGCAACTGAACTGAAGCTAGGTTAATAGTCTGATCAATAAGGATGTGGAAGCCTGGAGGAAGAAGCAAAACAATACGATAAACAATCGCTCAGCTTTAACCTCACTTCAGGCCGAAGACCTCCTGTCCCAATTATTCTGTCAAATGCACACCAGAGTCTAATCACTGAGCTCGAATTCCACCCTTATTATAACTCATGTTTAACGCACTAGTCCACACCGAAATATGAACTCCGGACTTCAGACGTGCGAGGCGGGTTCGGTACCACTACGTTACCTGCGCACGTATGACGCATCCGGATCGTGGTGTTTGAACAGGCAAACATTCATTCTTCAGCGGTGTTATGGTTTGCCTGGAGCCTCGAACGACTACCAAGTAACCACTCTAGTAGTGCTAATCGATTGCTCTGCCCGTCACGACCCTCCAGTCATATAGTACCACGGATGCCTGAAAATTAACTAGCTGCACATGTTTCTATTATTTGTATCTCGTTGCATGACTACTCGTTGTGATCATGGGGGACAACGTTCCTAAGGTAAAGTTCGGATTTTCAAGCCGCCAAAAGCACCGCTGCCTTACAGTAAGGCTTTTGAGCCAAAATCTCTAGTCGAGGATTTTAATCGTCCTTTTGTCTCAATGGCCCTGCAGTATCCCAGCCCACGTACAACACCATACTACCCGCAGCTAATAATACTCTGGTGCCACATCGGCTGTCACGTTGTGTCACCAACCGCGTCATCTTGCTGCACAGAACAAGGCGGATAAGTAAAAACATTCTAACACTGACGCCTCCTCTCCTACACTTCTATTCATTCTCTCTACCTTACCCCATCCCTGTCTGAATACTCACACCGCAAGCACTAGAACTGACCGTTTTGTTCGCCGCGTATCACTTTCAGCTGCAGTTTCTGTGTGACCAACTTCACTAACAACCCCAAACACCTTAATCTTCTTTCGAACTCCGAAAGCCGGTCTATTTAGCTGTCTTTAACGTTCACAGACTGAAGCAAGCGGCTCTCGCTCCTACGTCGGACCCCCTATACACCGATGTATTCTGTCTATCAGAACCAAGGATGCAGGACGCAAGTACTGTAATTGAACTGGGTGCCCACTCACTCTATTCCAGGTTCCAACTGCGCATTTCTGGTGGTGCGGAGGCCGCTGCAGCTGGATATGCGCGGGGGGAGGGGCGTTGTGTTGGGCCTTCAAGAGGAAGTGTCTCTGCTTGATTGTTAGGTGCCCTTGCGCGGTTCCGTTGGCAACGTGTGTGAAGGAATCTCGAGAAAGTGAGGTCCATCGCACCCTGTTTATTGTGTCCGCTTACGCCCCAGCGGACTGTAGTCCTGAATCTGCCGAAGACAGTTTCTATTACCCTCTAAGTGCTTCTTACGGTGGGCCATATGCACAGGTATCCCACAATTTGGTCTTCCTTGACTTCAAGGGTGCTTTCTATTCCGCCGATCGACTAGTGCTGTTAACCATACTTGCTCAACGGGATATTCCTCCGGAGTATGAACGCAGTCCGTTCTCCTCCACACATCCAGCACCACCAGCTGCGGTGGCTCGACCATGGTCTACGCATGCCGAAGCATCGTCTATCGAGAGGGGAGGACTCTTCCGTGCTTCATTCAGAATGGCGCAAACCATCGTTGCCAGGCCTAATAACCGCGTACTTGTCGTACAGTGGTTTTAGCTACCTCAGTTTCGTTCACCGATAATTTGGGGAAGTGGACAACGTGTGACTTAGCAGAAGGGCATGAAAGATGTCACCAACAGTTTAGGTATTCTTGGTGCAGTCTTCCTTCCAGGGTTGGGCTCCTGTGACCCACCCCCGTATGCTTTTCTGGAACCGCTGCGAGAAATGGCTGCTCGTCGTTGTCAGTGGCGTTCGTGCCGTCATGCTCTTTCCAGATTGTCCGATTAAGCGCTTGAAGGTGTTGGGAAGAATCAGGTCGAATTAAGATCATCGTGAACTTTGTCGTAAGGCACGTACGAAATAAATGTGAAAGAAAGGAGTATCTGTGTTGACCATATGGGCTTCACTAAGCCCTTCAATTCAGTCAGCTGGAGGCGCTGTTGTTCAATGCAAGCTTAACTGTCCAGAAGAATCTGGTAGCTTCATCAAAGTCTTTCGCGCTGGAATTAAATCGAAGGAGCGAATTTGCGCAAAAAAAAAACAATACAAAAGTTGAACAGGTTCGCGCATTTCTAACAGCCTCTCTAACTACTAATTTCGTGGGGCACTCGTGGCGTAGGTGGTAGGATGCTTCATTGCTGGTCAAATGATCGTTCATTTAATCCCGAGTTTTGCTTGCCCAAAGTGCTCGAACTTGTTGTCCGTTGGCTTCTATTCGTGGATGTCGCACCCTTTATTTTCATATTCTGATGCAGACTTACGGCGCTTTGGTCCGCTATTTCTCGCTTTAGTTTACAGGTTTTGAAAAATCTTTCTGTGATTGGCCTCAATGATTTAATACCAAACACCACCCATTCAATCGAGTGGCTGTGAAACAGAGCGGTGGAGCACACAAACAACGCGCCAAGCCCATCCCATCATAAGACTGAAATAGCATCTGATCGCATTATGAAATTCGTCTAGTAAAACCATCCCCTTCGCGTAGATCCCATGGTGGCGGTAGTTTCAGCGAGTTTTCAGTGGTTGAATGGCACCATCCAACAACACACCAACACACATTCAACAACGGCGAGCCCTACGTCCGTGATTCGTATCCCCGGAAGAACATCAGCCTCACATGAACCAATGTCTGTGGTGGATGTCATCTTTGGCAAAGTTTGCCATATTTGGTGACGAACTGGTGGTAATAGTTCATCATAGTTATCCGTAGCTTTATCAGATAGCTGTTTGTGTAAGAGATCATACAAAATCTAGCTGCGTGGCACCTTATAACCATTTATAAACGGTCCTATGGCATTTCCATAGATTGAGTCGACGTTCCCACTGCCTCCCTCTGTTCCACTGTGACGGCCTTTCGGTTTATGGCTGCCATGCAGCTCGAAGGAAGCATGAGGGCTGACATTCCGCTAGGTTACCGAAGCCTAGACAGGGTTTGAGGTCCAGAAATGATATAACCGTCGACTGCCGGCAAATGTGACGTTGCTTTAAAATCTGGTAAAGAGGAAGGTTTTGGCCGACACAAATTCGAAGAAAACTGACACCGATGTTGTTGTTGTACAGGAATTTTGGAGTAGTCCATGTGGGACTGTGCAGTCATCACGGACTCCGTTTTTTGAATGATTATCGATTCATCCCAGGACGGAGAGACTTCTTCATCACGACAGATCTTCAACAACAAGTAGTGTAATTCTTACAGGAGTGCGTTGTTTCTACCTTTGAAAAGTTCGCGTGACAGGTTTTCTTGGCCTGATGCTTTCTGTTGGATAAACCGGTGATCCCTTTTTCCAACTCCCGGTGCTGTGAAGGGTCGAGCTCAACAAGCCAATTTGTTTCAGCCAGCAGTATAAAATGACCAGAAGGCCTGTTAATTTAAGTTTCGAAGTGCTCCCTGGGCGTTTTTCTAAGTTCATAACAGCGTTTAAAGCAACCACCAACCAAATGATAGCAGAGGAAAAGGTGAAATGTCCACAGAAATATACCTCACCCAAGGAAATGCCCCTTTCTGAAATTGGTGGGAATCTGTTAGTGAGCCGTTCAAATGCATACAGTCTTATGAAGAGCTAACAATTAGCTCGTCTAATTTTCTTGACTGTTCTGGATAGGCTCACGTCTGGTCAAAAAATAGGCTCTTCATAGCCTGTTTAGCAACTGCGTAAGAATTTGCTAGGTATTCAACTGCCAGTGAATGCTCGGAAGTATTCCTGAATTCTGACGACTAATAAGGGTGATATGGTTCTAAATAAGCCATGGGCTTGGGGTTTTGCAAGCGATATATCAGACTGAAGTGGTCTATTCTGGACAAACAATCCACCAACCTCGGAACCTAGTCACTTGGCCTGACAAAGCTTTTGTGTCAAAAGCTAAACGTTGCCCACTAATAAATCTACCGATTGCCACCAAACTTTTTCGAAATCCAGTAGCTGATCAGTGCCGATTGGCTCTCATCTCGAATCCACACGAATCCCGCTATACCGCACGGCTTTAAGCGCTGCTACGGCCGATAAGCCTGGCCCGCTCGAGGTTGGCCCAGAATTCGGGCCGCTTGCCGGTCCGGCATCAAGACGGGATCTGATTGGTCAACAATCTGGACCCAACAGCCAATCATGACCCAGTATTGGCCAAATGCCGGTTGCCAATGGCGCATCCAGAACGCGTCAGTACTTCCAGAAAGTTATAACCGCTTACGCTATATATACGAAGCGTTGTACAACTGTTCTTGACTTCGTTTTGGGCATTAATAGACCTTGTACACCTTTGGCGGTTGTTTTGACGTGAACGCTAGCTTGGGAGGCTCAGACCGAGAACTAAGCTGAGGAAAATACCTTTACTACATCTGGTGCTTGTGGTGACAGCAAAATCCACTTGATGAGAGCGGTGTTCGGGTAGATAGTGTGGACTCTTATCGGGAACATCAGGTGATCGAATATTGCCACATCTATTTGATGACCCCCAGTCAGGACGGAGTGCTTTGTGGATCGCTTTTCCAGGACCGACCACTCCTGTTTTGTGGTCTTCTTATGACCATTTGCTTCTAACTCCCTTTCGGACCGCAACCAAGCAAGTATCTCCAATCGCTAAACAATTTGATTGCTTCCGAATATTTTCCCGTAAATAGAGCTAATGATGTCTCCTTGGTTGGTGATGAAACGTTTGTAAGCTAATTGCCAAGCGCGGCCGACAGGTCAATGGCTACCCGATCAAGCAGCTGAAAAAATAAACTTTTAAAGCATGTCATCCACTTAATCGGGATTTCTCTAGTTAGGATCACCATTCATCCACTATGGATAACACTTTAAGGTAATCTTCCCACGGGTGGTGATGGTTTCATAGAACATTTGCCTTTTATGTGCTCTGCCTCCCAGAATGAGAGTTTCTTAGCCCTTCATGTGCTCGACGGGGACGCTGTAAGATGTGGCTGCGAACGGACGCCAATGATTGTCAGTTTCTATCCAAGTTGTTTGTACTTCTGGAAATATAGACATCTCAAATACTTATGACAGGATAGTATTAGACCTGTTCCTTCCATTTTATCCCTACTGCTAAAGGATTTTGTTTACGGTAGTGAGGCATTCACTCAGCACTTGTGTGACTATCGATCGTTCATATCTTCATTCTCCCCCATCACAGGATTTACTGGTTCGTCGTAGAAAGGTCAAGGCTGGCGAATGCAGCAACACTCAGGCTCCGGAAAGTGCCGTGAATTCGGTTGATCGTTTTGATAGCCCCGATCGCGGTACTTTCACTCCAGGTGACAAAAATCACAATGAGATACACGGATCAACTGAAGCATTGGAAAATGGCCTGAAGTGAGCTTCCTTATTTCCTTCCTTGGTCGTTTCACGGTACTTCATGTATCTTTTATTGGGTGTGACTTTAGGGCTTTTGAGAATAATGTAAATGGTTCTGTCACTTTCTCATATTTTGGTAGATCGAAGTTTGAGGCCATTTGTAGTCTCGAAATCCACCAGATGATGTGTTGGACTAATTTTTTTTACTGTCGCAAACTTCTCACGCCCCATTTCCACCAGATATGTGCTGGACTAATTTTTTTTTACTGTTGCAAACTTCTCACGCCCCATTTATTTGCATAACGCGATAGGAACCACCGCGGCGCCTGACCAAAGTGGTAGTCTTTTGGTGGGGAGGTCTGTATCCGGAAGAATGTCAACTAACCTCTAGTTTTATCTGTATCCGAATGCCTATTAAGTCAACTATGTAATTTCATGGGAAATATGTTGTTTGTTTGTATTTCATGTTTTCCATTGGGTTCTCTCCGAGACACAATTCTCGCCCTATGACGAGAATGGGACGGAAATATCCACTTTTTCGTGGAATCTCTTTAATTTACACAGTCTGTTCCTAGTTGCCATTTGCCGTTTCACTTTCCTTTCATTGGATTGCTCGGATTTGTCGTAAAGCAGATATAGCATATAGGGTAAAGTAATGAAACTAAGTTCCCTGATAAATTGATCGGATGCACTGATCGCTTGCTATGCCGTCTGTAGCCGAATATAACCCCACAACGTGAGGACCAACTTACGCGTTGTTGTCATATATGGCGGTGGAATGCATAGCCAGGTTTCTGCATTGGATAACATTAGCCTGAAATGTCAGTATTTTTCCACGCCTTAATTATCTGAATAATCGAGTTGTGCTCCAAGAAAACCAGTTTGAAAATGAAATTATTCGTTTAATCCCAGCATGGTCAAATAGGACCTGTTGGTCGTGTTTGCGGAATTTGCCGAGTTTGTGTTCACACCACCCTTGTTTGTGCAGTCCTGCTGTCCTGATGAAATTATCCTAATTAGTACAAACCAAATAGGGAAGTGTTTTTACTAGAGCTAGTCAGCAGTCCCTATCCTTGACCCACCTCACTACTGTACTTTCACGGAGTAGTTGCGTCCACAATCCTTTGAAATGTTTGTAGCACATGCTAGAAAACCCGAGGCAACCACCGTGGTGCTGATTCTCCGTAGTGCATCTCGTAGTTCCCTGTTTTGCACACGATTCATTGGACCACCTACAAATAAAAGCGAGTCTCCCAGTACTCCGAGACATCAATATTTCGGAGCGGTCTATAAGTTAAGTCATACTGTCCTTCGCGATAGGAGTGTAAAGTCAGCATGGTATCTCTTTCAAGTGACCAGCATGTCCATGTTTATGGAAGCAGCGATGCTGCCTTTCTCTGAGGAGGTTGGAGAAGTTGTGTCCTGAAAACCGCATACTCCGATCGCCCAACGGTTGATCGTAATTGCTGGCGCTGTTTAAAGGGCACTTGCTGTGCGCAGCCGCATCAGCAGCCAGGCAGCTATGTCCTGTTTCTTAATCTCTTACGTTAGCCAACCTACTGCGGCCAAGCAGGTCAGACTATTGAGTCATCGGTTTCGAGAAGGGTCCCCAAAAAATTCCTACAGCCCTCTGCCTCACACAGCAGACTTTTAAGTCAGGCTCAAAAAGACCCTCTTCCTCAACCTGCGCAACCGCACGCTTCTGTGTCCACGGATGTCCCTCCCCAACCGTTTCCCAGCAGATAAGCAAACGTTTCTGGATCATTTGACTCAGTTATCTGACCAATGGGCCTAGTGCACCCCACTGCCTATTAACAATGAACAAAATAACACTTCTAAATCCACGAAATTCTTTCTACATAGAACCTTTTAATGTCCGTACTCTATGTCAAATAGGCAAACAAGCGATGCCCTCTAAGACCTTATACTCCCTTAAAGTTGATGTATGCTGTTTCCGAAACACATCTCAGAACGCCAAAGACGAACTCAGTTCTCCTTCACTTCCTCCATGTGTCCGGTGGCCCAGAAGCGATAACTCGTAGAATATATGGCGTGGGATATGCACTCAGCCCCAGGGCTGAACGCACCTTGCTGGATTAGACCCCAAAGAACAGTCGTCTTTGCGCCGACCGGTTATCCAGCTCAATCAAGCTCAGTACCTCTCGATGTAAAAACCGGTGTCTGTTTGTAGTGTCGGCTTATGCCCCAACGGATTGTAGTTCTGATGCTGGGAATACTTTCTATCGAGAGCTATCCGGGCTTATTCGTCGAGCAAGAAGCACTGACATTATGATTCTTGCGGGGGATATGAATACCTAAGTCGGTCATCTGAGCCCTTTAGTATCATATTTGGACGGTCGATGCTCGCCGTACAAACAACGGAAAGTGAATCCTACAGTTCTGTGCTTGCGGTTAGGCTTTTGGGCCGAAGGCTATTATGATTGAGGACCCTAATTGTCCTCCTGTCTAGGTCCGGGTACCCTGACAGTATCCCAGCCCACGTACAACCATGAACTGCATATACAGAAAAAAGCACATGCCACATCGGCCGTCGCATGGTACCATCAGCTGGGTAGCCTTACTCACTGCATACAGCAAGGCAGGTAGGCGGAAACACGCTACTGCTAACGCCTCCCTTCATTCTCTTTCACATGCTTTTTCTCCCGCCTTTCTCCACACCATTAATGACTCTCCCATTGTAGCCATAGCACCTGAAGCTGATAACTCTGTTCGTCCTTCATCGGTTTTGCTTGCAACTGCTCGTCACATGGGGCCGATATCTTCAGGTATCTCGAAATCGATCTTCAAGCGTCAACGCCCATTCCAACCGCCTGCCTTTATTATCCGCTCGGAAGCGAGCAGGACAACAAGCTGCTCTTGCTCACACACCGCACTCGCCTGGCGTTGATGTGTGCTGTGTTTCAGAAACAAGAATTCAAGATGCCAGCACAGTGGTTGGGCTAACCGCCCATCAGTCTGCACTCACTTGCGGCTGCGCACCACTAGTGATCCAGAGGCTTCTGTGGCAGGCTGTGCAGGGGCTGGTATCGTCCTAAGACACCGGGAGGAAGGATTCTTGCTTGACTGGATACCTGCTGATAGTCGCATCTGTGCGGTTCGTTTGGCAATGTCTGTGAAGGAGTCTCGCAAGCGGGAAGTTGATCGATGTCTGTTTGTCGTGTCCACTTATGTCCCAACTGACTACAGCTCCGACACCATCAAGGGCAACTTCTCTGGCGCCCTGAATGCTCTGTTGTGGCGAGCGAAAAGCTCTCAGATATCATGGTGGTTGCCAGAGATGTGAATGCACAAATGGGCAGGGTTAGCGTCGACATGGATTGGACTCGGCACGTACGGACAATGGCGAATGATTGCTTCAGCTGTGTGCTGTTTATGCAGTACTAACTTCCGAAATAGTTGATGTCGTCTGGTCACATGGTGTCCTCCAACGGCAGGCCGACCACAAACTCAAATCGACCACATTGCCATCAGTTACCGACGGCGCGGACCAGTAACTAACTGACTGTTGGTCGTTTGACACATTTGTGGATCCCGATCACGCACTCGTCCGGACTACGTTTTCTATTGCCGCGTAACGCTCGGACAAATCGCTTGGCACCTGAGGGACTACCAGATGCGAATATTAGAGGGACTCACCAGAATCGTCTTCATCACTATCGCAGCCACCAGCTGCCACTCAAGGCGAAGAGATAGCTCAAGCGCTTAGAGTACCAATTTAATGACCGGAAGGTCTGTGGTTCGAACGCGAGTTCTGTCCCTCGACTCCCTCTGCCTAGGCTTGAGCAACCTGGCAGTATCTCAGTCCTCGTGCTTCCTTCGGGTGGCATGGCAGCTAGGCATCAAGAGGGTATTATGGCTGAACGATTTTTTTCACTTTTACTAAGAGCTGACGTAGAAGCCTGGACAATGAAACAGGAGCCCCTTACGGCCTGTTTCTGAATGCATATGTTCTCTCAAGCACCTGGTCCAGATGACCTCCCACCTGCATTGTTCAGTGAGGTCCTCCTAAAGAGACGAACGCTGAAACGTTTTCAAGTCCCTGTTGTGTTTTTGGACGAACTGACCAAAGTCAACCCGTCCTTTGGTATGCACTTTGCACCCACAAAGTTTAAGTTCATGCTCCCAGACATGCAGTCACTGAACACGCATGGGAGAGGCACTCGAAATGGTGGAGCGTTTTACGTATCTTCGAAGTCGTATTAGCTCCGATTGTAGTGTGACAGATCAGCTCAGTGTACGAATCGGCAAGGCTTGGGTCGCGGTTGCTAATTTGAAACACCTATGGTGTCAACGCGGCATATCCCTGAATCTCATGGGACGTGTGTATCGGGCTATAGTACGGGTTGTTTTGTTGTGTGACTGTGATACTTGACCTGTTCGAGCAATGGAACTGAGACGTCTTCAGGTGTTCAACAATCGTTGTCTCAGAACCATAGCTTGGGTCGGTCAGCCCGTGTCGATGAATCCGTAACGAGTTATTTAGAAAGCCGGTTTTCGGTTGCGCAACGGGTTATTCCATTGAAGAATGTGTCCAGCACCAGAAGCTGTATTGGCTGGGACATTTGTTGAGTGTGGCGAATCATTTTTTGACGAAGAGTGATGTTTTGCATGCCCGACTCAGAGTGGCTGAAGCAGAGAGGTGACCAACCCTTGACCTGACAGAGGAGTGTGAAGGAGATTACGAAACGCTTGGACGCTGTCGGTGCTACTCGCCTCCTAGGATGCGAACCACGGGATCCTCACTACGCCTGGTCGGAGACGCTGCAAGATATGGCTGCTAGTCGATTTCAACTACGCTCTTGTTGTCAGTTTCCATCCAGATTGCCTGAATGAGTGTCTGAAGGTGTAGGCGCCTCGGAATGATTAGTAAGTCAGCACTAAGTCCCTTTCCTCTCCACCTTTATTCTTTTCTTCACGATAAGACATTCAAATAAATCACGGTTGTACAGCGGCGAAGCATTGGTGTTGAACACTGATGTCATGTTGTCGATGATGAT